ATGTTATGAGTCGGAGCCCCAGGCGATGTGTCATAGTAGAGGGAACCGTGCCTTTAATCACATCCAAGCAGGACTACGCAGTCATCTCCAAATCAGGAGTAGAGAAGAGTCTACTAACGTTTTGCTGCAGACTATGCATGGGGCCGATCCACTTGCTATGCTTGAGCTTGTCAAGCTTGAGTCTAGCTTTGGCTGCAGCATGGGGATCGACATATTGCTTGGTCAAAAGATCTTCGAGTATGGCTATTGTCGTAGCCTTCAACCATTTGTTCAGGTCTATTTTTTTATAGCTTGACTGTACATCTTGGACTTCTAAGAAGCCCCTTACGGCGGGTTCTACATTGGTCCCTATGACCGACGAGTGAGTAATCGGGGGTGTCCCCAACACATCAAAGTAGGATCGCATGGAGCTGATCCAAGATTCGATGTCATCTTTTCGGTCATACTTTAACGAAATTTGTTCCGCCTTCCTGTCTATATAGGGAAAGTTGCAGCTAGGACCAGCGATTGCTGGGTCCGAATTCGGGGCTACAATAGTTTCAGAATGTCCTGCATTGCCACTTGCCACTGCAGCAGCAGCAACAACAATAGTGGGGTCTGGACCTGCGGCAGATCCAGATAGGTTGTTGACCACACTCAAAGAAGAAGAAGAAGAAGATATAGCTAGAGGGGCAAAAACGTACTGACACGCAGCACTAGAAGCAGGGTAAGTAGGCGGAAGGACACATTGGGCTGGCTGCATGTTAGCAAAATGTTGCAGCTGGTCACGGTGTTGCTGCGCTATCAGGGCCGCAACTTCTTGAGTTCATCAAACACCTTGGCGAGGTGGCCAATATGGTTTTCAATAGTCTGGACTTCTACTAAGGCCCTACGGAGTGGGACAATCCTCTCTTCCACCTTTGCATCAGCTAAGGATGGCACGGTATTGAAGACGACTTCATGAACCTTTACTTTTTCTCCCCTCTCCTTCTCCTTCTCCTCCTCTTCCCTCTTCAATGCTTTTTCATAAAAGCACTGGTGCTGCGCTTTTTCTGCCTCAGGGGCAACGTCAATTTGCAGCTTCCATAATGGAGGACGAGGGTGTCAATAAGTCTCTCAAGAGAGGTCTGTACTTCCTCACACTTTTGGGACGAACACTGCTCTTCCCTCTGCTCACCCCCTCAAGAGCAACACTCTAAAACTTTTATCTTCTCTCTCTCTCTCTCTCTCTCTCTCTCTCTCTCTCTCTCTCTCTCTCTCTCTCTCTCTCTTGTTTGGGATCGTGTATACGTAGGCATTTATGGAGCTCAATGAAAGAAACAACTTGAAAGCAATTAGAAAAGAAGGTAGAACTCCTAGCCGGAGTGGCAATTCATTTGGACTGGAGAGCAGTCAAAACAAAAAAAATAAAGATCAGAGAGATCTGATTTCGCTACACAGTCTGGTCCGACTACGTATGAGGTTCTCTCAAGCCTAGCCGGATTGAGCTCCGTGAAGACACAACAAATCAAATTCGAAGTGTACTACGTAATGCAAGAGAGAATTGAGTGGTGTCAAAGGTGCAAGTCAGGCGGAGGATCGTGCGGTAAAGTCCGTAAAAACGCCTCAGTTGAGATCCCTATTTTCACAACGGAGCATCAACCCCGGTCTTTGGGTTTGATTAGTCCATATCCTAAACGGGACCTATTTCAGACCCCCTATCAAAGTCTAACATAATTTACCTCCCCATCCTTAAATTTCGCTTCCCTTGATACCCTTGATCGGTCCCCCTTTTACCGACATTCCGTTTATTTGTCTTCCAGACTGACCACAATCACCTTCCTCATAGTCTTCATTCACTCGGGCGGACCTAGATGGGAGGCGAGAATAGACTCGCGTCATGGCCTTGGTCAACAACTTATGTTCAACCAAACTTTAAAAAGGAGGTTTACAAAAAGGAAAAATGTAGGCAATCTCACACACGGGTCGGTCATCTCCTCACCAATCTTTTCCCCTATATGGTCTCTCCACTCTTACTTTCCGCAGAGTTTTATCCCACAAGCGCAACTCAACCGTCGCGAGCGTGGTACCTCAACTCCGGCACAGGGTATCACCCCTCTTCGCCCAGAGTATCCCATCCCTCTTTGCAACTCTTAGACGCCACCGTCGATACTGGGAATCACCCCGCATACTGCTGATAGACGTAAAGGATAGTCATCCAGGCATTCACATCCTTTGATCCGTCCAGAACTCGTTTTTTCCATGTCGTACTTTGGGAAGCTACTAGCCGCACCCAAGGCATCCTCCTTGCCCCACGTGAAGTGGTCTTTCCTTCGTCTGCAGACAATTAGCTACCTCGTCCGAGGAGACGTTTCACACCCCGCCAGGCAAGGTGCCGAGCCATGCTCGGTCCGCCCTGAAGAGAATGCTACTAATCAACCAGGTGAGACCAACTCCTACCAATAGCCCAATGGACCACCCTGCCACATGCGAAACAAAAGGCTACCTATGGGAAGCTTCATCTCGCAACCCGCCCCAACTGGCTCAGATTTCATACTCTCCTTTCTGCAAGCAGAACGCTCAGTTTCTCCTCAAGCAGTCACAAGTCCCAAGTGGGACACGCATAAACAAGTGCCTTTCCCTTAGTGCTCGGAGCGCCTCCTACTCATGCCTCACATTTCTCTCTCAAAACAGTGTGTGTCACTCCCTCTTATCTTTTCCGTACATAGTGGCTGATTCCTTCTCGTGAGCATCTTCAAGGGTAAGCTAGTTTTCCTTGGAGTGTAGCAACTCCCTTCATTCCCATTTTCTTCTTTCGTCTGTCGTTTAATTGGGCCGGATTGTTCCTTTTTAAATGACCGTTGTGTTCATGTCGGTTCCTTCAAGCATTTCAAAGTGTTTAGTGCAAGGAGCCCGTTGGGCCCAGAAGGAGTGCATAGGAAGACACCCATCCGGTCGGATCACTCCGCCGTGGGATTTTTATTGGACCCCGACCGAAGTCGAAGCACCAATCGCCTGGCAGGCAACCGGAGCCCTTCTTTCAAACGAAGAGGAATGGTCAATCTGCAACTTGCCACATGCCTTCCCCAAACTAGCGAACACCAGTGTAGGAAGTAGGGGGGCTAGAGCCACTGTCCAAAAAGGAGCGAGCTGATCAATAGTGCAAGCATGCATGCTATTCCTCAAGGCTTGACCATGCCATGCGCCTAACCACCCTCAAATCTGACTCTCTAAAGGGAACGAGCAATATCAAATCCATATTCCTTTTTCTTTGGTTATGTACACGGTCATGCGTCGGCCACCCCCTTCGGGATGGTAAGGGTTAGTTTAACCCACTGCCCGTCACCTCCACCAATTTTGTAAGGCCTCACCCTGTTAGACTTTCAAGCCTAAGTCGACCCTTCTTCGGGTCTTAGTTGGTTCGGCTCCGCCCACACTCATTCTCAAGGTGCAGAGCCATTCACAGGGTCAAACCCGCCTAGTGCTTTGAGATGGATGGGGGTGGGCCATTGAGCGAGAGAGCTTTGACATTGGGGATGTAGCTCAACTTTCTCGCTTGAAGGGCAGTTTCGTTGTTCACTCGCAAGTGTCCATTTCTCGATACTTTGTTGTGTTCTCATGCAATTGCTCCTTCCAATACACAAGCTGTCCAGGGAGGGGACTTCCTCCTATCCTCTTAGCCGACTTTTTTTTTTGTTGTTGTTCATTTTTTTTGGACCATTTCTCGATTTATGCGTGTCATCCTTGCGCAGGGGCCATGCTAATCTTCTCTGTATCGTTCCAATCCTCTTAGCCGGCTTATGCACTTCCTTCCCTTTTTCTCACACTTCATGCATCTTGTTTTGTTGCACCCCTTAGTCTTTTCAGGGCTCCCACCCGCAGTCCTATAGGACTTGGCGGTCATCTCGACCATTCGACACCTTTGCAAACCTCAACTATTCAGACCATAATTTTCTTTTCACAATCGTAGTCGCATGCACAGAGAGCTTTATTTATAGGCAAAGGGTTACGTCCACAACCTGTTTTAGCTCCTATTCTCCATTTTCCTTTCCCTCCCGGCCTATTCGGGCGCAGTCCAGCATCTCTCAAGGCTACTCACTTGCATACTCAATACAATGCAAATAGATACAGCCCCCAATTGGGCTCAACACGTAGTCCCTGCGGCATGCGTTATCTCCATGTCCTTAAACTCTTTCCCTCCTCATTTCCTTTCATCTTTCAAGCCATCCTCTAGTCTTAGTCATGCAGTCCGGGTTCTGGTTGAGTCAACTCACCTTTCTTTTACGTGGCAACTCTCTCTAGTCCTCCTCGGACTTTGTCCACCATCAAGCCAATTAAGCTCTTCTCTTTCTTATCTTCTTGGTGGCACAAGGACCTGGCAGCCAAGAGAAAAAGGGGGGAGGGTTAGTTGCATGCCAAGAGAAAAAGGGGGGAGGGTTAGTTGTATGCCAAGAGAAAAAGGGGGGAGAGGGTAAGGGTTGACCTTGGGGTTCGGGAGAGGAAGATAGGAGAGGTTAACGACCAAGAAAGAGAAGAAGAGAGAGAGAGAGAGGGAAAAGAGAGAGAGAGAGGGAAAAGAGAGAGAGAGAGAGAGAGAGAGAGAGAGAGAGAGAGAGAGAGAGAGAGAGAGAGAGAGAGAGAGAGAGAGAGAGAGAGAGAGAGANAGAGAGAGAGAGAGAGAGAGAGAGAGAGAGAGAGAGAGAGAGAGAGAGAGAGAGAGAGAGAGAGAGACCCTCTAAGCCTAACCCAACTTATCCCCTACTCATCCTACCATTCGACCTATGAGTCCTTCAACGACTTGCTGCCCTATATACCTTGGTTCACGCCAATGGTTGGTGAAGGCGGAGAGGGAAGAGGTTGTGCAGGTGCTTGGCTATGGTGGATGGGTAAAGGTGGGGGTGGAAGAAGGCGTGAATGTACTTGGCTATAGTGGACGAGTGGAGGTAGAGGTGGAAGAAGGTGTGAAGGTGTTTGGCTATAGTGGATGCATGAGGGAGGTGGAGGTGGAAGAAGGTGTGAAGGTACTTGGCTATGGTGGATAGGTGGAGGTGGAGGAGGAAGAATGTGTGAAGGTACTTGGGTATGGTGGATGGGTGGTGGAGGTGGAGGTGGAAGAGGGTGCGAAGGTGCTTGGCTATGGTGGACGAGTGAAGGAAGTGAAGGTGGAAGGTGTGAAGGTACTTGGATATGGTGGATGGGTGAAGGAGGTGGAGGTGAGTCCAGTTGCGGAATTAATGGTTATGTGCGGTTGCAGAGTCTGTCGCGGTTGCAGCTGCACATCTGGGCCGTTGCCTCTATCCAAGAAGCTACTATCGACCCGACCATGATCTTCTTTCCGCTGGTTACTGTTCATCTCCTCCATAACTCTCTTCCCTCGACTTGAGTGAACGTGGTTGGGCCGGTAGCCAGGTGCATGCATGAGTTCATGGCTGAAGGGAGAGAGAGAGAGAAAGAGAGAGAGAGAGAGAGAGAGAAAGAGAGAGAGAGAGAGAAAGAGAGAGAGAGAGAGAGAGAGAGAGAGAGAGAGAGGAGTGCGCACCCAAATTATGTATATCCCATGTTTAAGTGGGAGATTCATTCTAGTTTTGTACCTGTATCTATCCTTATTATAGCGGAAGATTTCACTCAGGTTCTGCTGAAAGGTAGGCGAGGAAGACAATGGGGCGCACATAGCGCTATAGGCTTGCGAGGGAAGAGAAGGTGACGAATTGGAAAGGAGAGAGAAATTCGACAGAGGCTGAGGGAAGCAAGCTGAAGGACAGAGAAATTCGTCAGAGGCTGAGGGAAGCAAGTTGAAGGAGAGAAAAAATTGTCAGAGGTTAAGGGAAACAAGTTGAAGGAAACGAAATTCGTCAGGCGCAGTGCATCGTCCGTTAACCCCGGTCTGCAATGAGAGATTTCAATGTGAGCATGACTGTTGGTGCTCGAAAGACGATGAACCATGCCTGAGCAGAGCGAGGCCGGAGGAAACTTTGGTGGAGGCTCACATAGGCAAAATCGTTCGTCAGACTTGAGTATAGAGGATTTGATGTGAGGGTACGTACCAGATCTCTGCGATGGACTGCATGACCAACATTTGAATGCAGTTCGGTTGCTGTTGCCGAGGATCACGGTTTTGCTTGTCACTATAGTTAAGATAGAGCGGTGGTACAATCGTGACCTGGGCGCTGAGCTCCGTAACACTTGTGGTGGCGGTGAGTATACACTTTCGGTGACTCTTTGTGTTCGTTAGTTCGGTTCTTCATCGGCGTCATATTAGCGGACTCCTGATTTCTGGATAGCTTCGATTGACCGGTCTTCATTGTGACCTTGCGATCCGGTAGTCCGTGTCCAGCTGCGAGCCAAGGGGTTAGTGGTTCGTTCATGCACTCAGTTTTTCGGGAAGTGTGGTGGTCTTGAGGTCTTAGGGCGTGGAGTAAGCATGTGCTGCTTGCTGCCCATTGTTGGGCCTTGCTGTGTTTATGTTGGGCGTTTGCGATGCTAATTGTGCATTCTGCGGTACACCTGCTGCGCATCACCGTGAAATTGCGGGGTTTGTAGGGCACAGATGTCGTGGCTCTATTGTGCACACCAACTTATGTAGTACGTTGGTTGTGCGCTTGTCGTGCTTCGGTTGTGTGCTTGCCACACACTTGTCGTGGTTTTGTTGCGTCTATGATGCTTGCGCTGATCTTACGTTGCGCACTGCGCTGCGCTTTGCTGCAACGAATATTGTTGTTGAACTGAGTATTGTTGAACTCTGCTTGCACTCTGAATAGAGCGTGGGGCCGTACTCTATTCAATCGCAGCCTTTCGAGGCTGCGAGGCTAGGTTTGGTCAGAGGGTAGGCGTTGTGGCCTTGGAGGAGTGATTAGGTTCCACAAAGGGGTCACTGTTGCGACTTAGAGGTTTGTTAAAAGGTTGTCACTTTGCGTTTTGGCTTCGATCCGACCATTTTACTCGCATACTTGGCCACCATTGCGGGGCCCTCTAGCGCATGAAGATTACAAGGCCCTCTCACGTAAGTTGAGGTTGCCCTCTCTTGGATCTCTAGAGTGTGACTTATCTACTTCTGCCCTTCTTACTCTTAAGTTTAGTCTAAGGTTACGAGAGGAAGGTGGCAGGCGGGATTGCAGCCTATAGGACCGCATCAAGACTCTTTGGGGAGTCCACCTACCGATTGCGGGAGCATTGCCGGAGCCCAGGCGGGGTTCGGGAGGCAGGAAACATTCAGGTATATGATCGATTTATGCGTGTGATCCTATCCCCTAAAATTGTACTACCCATTAGCTGAATGAAGGTATGACTGAGAAAGCTATTACTTTTGCTTATTTTCATTTCGGAAGTTGATCTGAAAAGGCTAAATTAACAAGTGAAACAGTTTTCACCTTTGGCAGTAGCCGATGCAGATCCCAGGGGTCGATCCCTTGACCTCAACTTACCTGTGTACAGTATCTGCACAGTTCCCTGGAGTTGAACCCGTGACCTGCACGATAGCCAGTGGTAAGTAGGTCGCCGTAGGTTGTAGGCTGTAGGGAGATTCGAACTGTAGACCTGTAAGGTAGGAGTCCAAGTAGAGTC